GGACACCATGCCCCAAACAGGGGTGCACACACACATGGGTTTCAGTACCAAGTGTAAAGCTGGGAAAAACAAGATCAAGAAATTCAAATTTATACTGAGAAATAGTAAAGAAACACTGCTCAGTAGCACTGCTGGGAAAAAAAATCTACTTGTGTGGGCAAAGAGGATTGAAAATCACAGAAACAAAGAATAGTCTGGGTTCAATGGGATCTTAAAGATCATCTGTTTCCAAACCCCTGCCATGGGCAGGGGATCATGTGAGGGGTCCCTTCTCTGCCCTGGTTTGAAAGTTCTGGCCCTGAGCACACCCAGCTCTGGGGTCTCTGGCCCTGAGCACACCCAGCTCTGGGGTCTCTGGCCCTGAGCACAGCCAGCCCCTGCAGTGATGCCAGCCCAGCTCACACAGATGTTCTGCCCTTGCATGAGAGGCGTCTGCAGGATCACAGAGACTGAGAAATCACAGAAACGAATATTTCAGAAAAGTCCTCAGTGAAAGGAGAAAAGCAGATAAAGAGACTGTCACAAGTGTTGTGCTCTCTGTGCTCAAGTGGCCTAGGGCTGATTCTCCTCTCTGCTCTGCCGAGGCTGTTTCGAACGGCACCGACTGAAAGTCTCCGGAAGAAACTTCAGTCCAGGAGTCACATCAGCACGGTGCCACAAGGGCTGTAATCCCCTTTTATCCCATCTTTAGCACTCAGAGAAAGGCCCCAAGTTTTGCCAGAATCTTTCTGCTCCAGCCCTTGCAAAAGGCTGAGAAGATGGTCATAGCCTGGAGATGGATTCACTGGCTCAGGACAGGCTGCTGTGACACACCCTGGGACAAAACCAGCTCTGGGGTGTGCAAACCCATGGCCTGTGCTCACAGCCAGCCTCGCTGAGCAGCACCCACTGCTGAGGTCAGGCTGGCTGAGGGAGCTGTGGGAAGGCAGAGGGAAGAGGGGAAGGTGGCAGACACAGTCTTGCAGCTCTGGGCATCCCCTCCTCCCCCTGTGTGCTGCAGCCCGTGGGGTGAGGGAGCACCAGAGGCTGCTCAGAGCACAGCTCGGGTGTGAAAATAGGCCATTTGGGGAGAGAGGACATTAATAAATGCACTCCAGATCTTTCATTTATCTGTTAGGAGGCATTCAAGTGGTCTTTTGCTAACAACTTCAATATATATATTTCTTACAGATAGCAATTAACCTTCTGGTACAGATTAATCTTTTTAAAAAATCAAAGATGAATTAATCTTTGAAATTCAAGTATTCAGTAGTTTCATTAATAATCTGAAATTGTCCTTTAGATTTTCCATAATTAGACCATTCCCCTAATTTATTAATCCCACAGACTGCAGAGCATGTTTCAAATCTTCATCTCCTGCCACAATGACATATTCAAACTCGCTTGAAGTGCTCATAATAAAAGTCACTTTGTGAAGAATTATTAACTCAGAGGATCAAGCAAAGTCTTTATAGGCTAAAGCATATTTGAAAACTAAGTAGGGGTAGCACTTTCTACTCATCCTCAGATTTCCTAAGATCCTGGCTGATCAGAAACAAGTTGGGATAAAACACTGAATTTAGATAATTAGCTCACCTACAGACTCGAGGCCAGAGATAATAAATGTGCTGGTACCTATGGACTAAATCTTCCCTTCTGCCTAAAGAACCTCATTGTGAGCTACAAGACAACTGTCTGGGAGCTGATGACACCTGTGCTCTGTGGTGTGCCTCAAATTTGGGACCAAATACCTCCCCCCAGGACAGCTCCTGGCAGAGGCCCCCGGTCCTATGGGATCATGTAGGGAGGAGCAACACAAGGAGCTCTGTCCAGCCTCTCCCAACTCCGCTCCAACCTCTCCCAGCTCTGCTCCAACCTCTCCCAGTTCAACTCCAAACTCTCCCAACTCTGCTCCAACCTCTCCCAACTCCGCTCCAACCTCTCCCAACTCCGCTCCAACCTCTCCCAACTCCGCTCCAACCTCTCCCAACTCTGCTCCAACCTCTCCAGTTCAACTCCAACCTCTCCCAACTCCGCTCCAACCTCTCCCAACTCTCCTCCAACCTCTCCCAGCTCTGCTCCAACCTCTCCCAACTCTGCTCCAACCTCTCCCAGCTCTGCTCCAACCTCTCCCAGCTCTGCTCCAACCTCTCCCAGCTCTGCTCCAACCTCTCCCAGCTCTGCTCCAACCTCTCCCAACTCTGCTCCAACCTCTCCCAGCTCTGCTCCTCATGTCCTCACGTGCAATATCCAAAGGTTTTTGGACACCTCCAGGGCTGGTGACTCCACACTGCCCTGAGCAGCTGTGCCAGGGCTGGACATCACTTTGTGTGAAGAGACTTTGATGAATATCCCCTGTGCCCCTCCCCTGGTGCCCCTGAGGTCGTTCCCTCTCCTCCTGTCCCTTGTTCCCTGGGAGCAGAGCCCGACCCCCCTGACTACACCCTCCTGTCAGGGAGCAGTGAGAGCAATAGCACAACTCCTGATGAGCATCACAAGTTTTAGGTCACTCAACAATGAGGTAAACCAGCACCTAAACCCCTCTCCTGCCCTCCATCCTCCCCCCATCCCTTCAGGGCATTAATCCACTCCCATGGCAGCAGCAGGAGCACCACGAGTGTGCCCCATCCCTCCCTCCCTCCCACCCTGGCAGTGCCACAGGAGCACAGCTCACGTCACCCTGCTTTGGAAGGACACTGTACAGTTACACACCTCACTCAGGCCTCCTGCATTGGGACCCCTTTAAATATGTTTAACGTTTGAATTGCAAATGATCTCAGTGACACTTCTCCATTTTCTGAAAGCCCCTGTCCCCTCTGCTCAATCCACACATTCCCAGCAGCTCTTGACCACTCACATGTTTCTAACAGAGATCAAGGAGCTGCTAGAGCCCCCCCCCAGCCACGAGGCAGGGAAATGAGTGCTGCTCCTTCAGCAGGCTCCTTCCAAACCCTGATGTTCCAGCAATCCCTCAGGAATGTCCCCAAGGAGACACGGCCACCTCAAGCACTGGAAAAACAACCCCAAAATGTGGCCCCCTCCACACCATCTCCCCCAGGTGTGGACATGGCAACATGAGCCCCCAAGGCAGCACCTGGGAGAGGGTCCCAACCCATCCCCAAAGTCAGGGAACAAGGTGCCATTTTGCCCCAGGGATTCAAGGTCAGGACCTGCATCTGCAGGCAGCGCTGCTCCATTAAACCTCCAGACAACAGGATCCTCTTACATTCCCAGGGTTTTACAACCCCAGGGAACTTATTGACAGGTGTTAAATCCCCTCAGAACTCCACCTGAGCTTTATCTGTGAGACACAAGAAGTTCAGCACAGCCCTAAGAAGCAGCAGCAGCAGCACCAGGGATCGGATTATTCGTGTTGCAGTGCCTGTGGAAGGTGATGCACTATCCCTGTTAGTGCCTTCATCTCCCAGGCACGACCCATATCCCCCTGCATGAGAGCTGCTGTCAGCAGGCTGTTGCTTTGGGTTTGTGCTTTGTTTTTTATGAGGGATGCTGAATTACATGTCGACTACATGAACAGCTCGCACAACAAATTTAATTCTCCAGAAGGTCCATAAAATGGGACAATATTCTTCACTGGAGCTTGTCCTTGACACACAGAACGTATTTTGGGGATGATTTTGCAACAGTGGATATTTGCAAATAAAGCCAATTTTAAATTATAATGAACTCTGGCATTTGTCACTTCCTGCTGTATTAAATCCAACTCCATTTTCTTTAATACCACATAAATATGCATTTGTAAGAACAGACATATTTATGCAAATACAGGTCCCTCCTGTGATATCAACAGAAGGGAACAGTTTCAGACCCCACTGTCCAAAGCCCCTTTCTTTCAAGCACAGGCTCCTTCTCTGCTTGCTGTGGGATGATGCTGCCAGGAGGGTCCCGTCAGCTCCCCGAGGCACTTTGGGACTGAGCAGGTGCCTCTGCAGGCAGAGCTGCTGCTGATCCAGCCTTGGATCAGCCCTGGGGATGGAAACCTCCAGTGGCTGCTGCAGAGCAATTCCTGCCCTGTCCTGCACTGCCACATCCCCTGAGCTGTGCTGGTTTATTTAAGGGGGGGACTGTGCTGGTTTTTTTAAGGCAGTGCCAGGGCAGGTACAGGGTGGGAGATCTGAGTTCATTCTGGGAATACAACACAGCTTATTCTTGTACAACAACGTTGTGTTCCCCATCAGGCTCTACCACTGAAGCCTTCTGGAACCTTGCACTTATCACCAATAATGAATTACATCATCTGCTTATTTTTCCTTCCCAGCACAGGGTTCAACTCGAAACATCTCAATTTCCAAACCCTTCTGATTCTGGATTGCAAATCAGCTTGCCAAGGGTTTATACCTCTATTCCCCAAAGAGCCATTTAAAGTCCTCCTACATTCTGGTGCCTCTGGGGAAATTTAGAGCTCTTTACCCTGAAGAATAACTTCCAGGGACAAGGGGATGAGCACACGGCAGCCACACCTTCGGGACAGGTCCCCTTCTAGGTTTTGTAGCAGAAGAGGAAAGTAAACTACAAAACTGGAGGGACAGAATAGGAATTGTCTCAGCTGAACTGCCCAGAGAAAAGTTAAAAGCTAAAGCAAAGCTACACCAATCAGGCTGAGATCTGGGAGCTGAACAAACAGAGTGACACAGCTCAGTGTCAGGGATGAGCAGGGCAGAGCCCTGAGCTGTGCAGAGAGAAAAGCTCAGCTTTCAAACCTCCCTCCTACCATGTCAACACAACAGGATGCCCTCCAGGGCAACAGCAGGAGCTTGATAAAACTCAAGGTTTTCCATTTTTCCCCAGAAATGACTGAAAACCACTGAGGTTTCAAACTCTGGAACTCCATAAGCCATTCAGGAATGAGAGTATCTTGGAGCCATTGCAGAGCATTGCAAAGAACTGAAGCAACCTTAGAATCAAGTGTTTAAGTTCTAGAAAAATAATATCACATTTGGTACAAAATAACATTCATCACTTCCACAGCATTTTCTGGAGGGGGGACGGGCGTTGCCTACCTGCCTCTCTGGAAATTTGCATGAAGGACTCGACTCCTTTTTCTCCATAATTCCCTTCAGATGCCAAAGTGGATACATAATTCCATCCCAAAGCTTTCACAATGTCCACCATTGCTTGTGCTTGGAAGGAATCTGGAGGAACCACACGTGAGAAGAAATCATAGCGCCTGTCATCACTCAACTCTGGTGCAGTTGAGGCATAACTGATTTGTGGGATCTGTAGAAAAAAATAATTTCTGATAAATATACATATTCATACACTCATGGCACTTCTTGCAGCAGTCAGCTGAAGCTGTTGGCTCCAGCTGAGCTTTGCCTTCACTGTTTCCATCTCTATTTCTCCACCAAGTTCCCTTACAGTGCACAAGCCGAAGAAACAATCTTTTCATTGACTTCCAGTTACACAAATAAAATGGTTAAACAATTGAAGACAACTGTATATGTGCACATCCATAATGTCTTCCTTTCAGGCAGTCTAACCCCAAAACACAGCACACAAACCACTTTAATCACTATGGTCCTTTTGTTGGTGTCCTGCTTTTACCAGCATCAGGTGATTTGGGTCCCTGAACGTAACCAAGGTTCAATCTCCACCTGCCATCGCTGGCTGAAAGTCAGGAAGACCCTTCATCAACTTTTGGAGAATGAAGGGTCCAGACTTAAGCAAAAATACGTTAATTTTTTATTCTTTCTGATGGAGAACAGTCGTGGAGGTTGCTGGGCGTGGACACCTCTGTCCCACAGGCACAGCCTGGTCACAGCTCAGCTCTGTCCCAGCAAACCAGCCATGCTTTCCTCCTCCCAGCAGAGTGTGAGGGTGACTTTTTGTAACAGAGAGAACAGAATATTGTTCAGGACTATTTTCTCCTTGATAACCAAGTCCCTGAGCAGTTATTGAGCTGACAGAATGTTAATCCCCAAACCCATTATGCAATTGTTTGAGTAACAGTCTGGGACTGCTCCTTAAATTAAGGAACCTGCCATAACTCTCACTTGAGATGCCACAGAGGGAAAAAGCAGCTTTGCAATACACACAAACATGATCATATATAATGATCTGAGACTTCTGCCTGAGGAAAGGTCAGCACTTCATGCCTCAGCACAAGCAGCTCCTGCATTCTCATATTTTGTCTCTGCAGAGCACTCTACAAGTATTTATTAGCTTTCCTGCCTTCTCAGAAAAATAAACATTGTATTTCCCCAGGATCAACTCTGCAAAGGGCTCAGCACCTTTGATTCCACAGAGATCAGGAGCACAGGAGAGCAAATTTCCCCAGGATACACATTATATCTGTACAGTTCCGTGGACAGTTGCAGCTTCTACAGCAGAGGAAAAGCAGCCACTTAGAGCAAAATTGGTGCTGCAGACCCAGCAGAATGAACAGAGAGAGAACTTTGCATGAAACCATTCACAGCGATTAACTGCCCCAACACTTGTTAGCACTCAACCTAAACAAACATGTAAACTTTTAGAGATTCATAGAATTCCCTGAGCTGGGAGGGACCCACAAGGGTCATCAGTCCAACCCCTGGCTCTGCACAGACACCCCAACAATCCCATCCTGTCCCTCAGAGCGTTGTCCAAACCCTCCTGCAGCTCTGGCAGCCTTGGGACTGTGCCCACTGCCCTGGGGAGCCTGTTCAGTGCCAACCACCCTCTGGGGGAAGAACCTTTCCCTGAGATTCAGCCCTTCCCCGGGGGCTGTCCCAGCTCCAGCCCTTCCCGGGGGCTGTCCCAGCTCCAGCCCTTCCCGGGGGGCTGTCCCAGCTCCAGCCCTTCCCCGGGGGCTGTCCCAGCTCCAACCCTTCCCCGGGGGCTGTCCCTGCTCACCCCGAGCAGAGGTCGGAGCTGCCCCTCAGGAGGAGCCTCAGCCCCTGCTGGGGTCTGACCTCAGTCTCATCTCTCCAGCTGAACACACCAAGTGCCCTCAGCTGCTCCTCATCCGGCCCCCAGACCCTTCCCCATCCCTGTGTCCCTCCTTTGGACACTCTCTTTAGATCTTTCCTTTATTGTGGCCCCCAAACTGCCCCCAGGACTCGAGGAGAGGCTGCCCCAGGTCAGAGCAGAGCGGGACAATCCCCTCCTCACCAGTGATGCTGTGCCTGGTGCCCCCAGGGCAGGGTTGGCCCTCCTGGCTGCCAGGGCACTGCTGACAGTGAGCAGAGCCGGGGCTGTGGCTGTGATGGAGCTGGAGATGTGAATGCCCATCACTGGCAGGGCAGAGGAGGTTAATCAGGCTGAGAGCTGGGCTGCTTTAGGTCTGGAGTGCAAGACAGCAGTTGTCTCCAGAAGCCTTGCCAGATTTATTTTACGTCTGGGGCTTGTGAACAGCAAGACTTTAGAGTGCTCCAGTCACAGAAGATTAAAGAAGTTCAAACTGAGGCTGCTGGAAGAGCCCAGAGCGCTGCTGACCGTGGGGATGGGATTGACTCGCTCAGCACTTTGCCCAGGGGCCAGCAAGGCTTGGGCAGCTCTCAGAGAGAGGGATAACACCAACTTATCAGTCCTGAGGCCCTGGCACAGGGTGCCCAGAGAAGCTGTGGCTGCCCCAGCCCTGGAAGTGTCCCAGGCCAGCTTGGAGCAATGGAAGGTGTCCCTGCCCACGGCAGGGGTGGCACTGGGTGGGCTTTGAGGTCCCTTCCCACCCAAACCAGTCTGGGATTCTGTGATCAGGGTTCTTCATTTTTAATCTACCTGAGGGATGATTTTCAGCTAACACCAATCTGCTGTGGGTGCACAGAAAATTCTAGGCACCCTGGCTATCAAAAAGGAGTTAAATTCCTAATTTGTCCATGCCTACAGCTGCTGTTGTAAGAAATGACTGATGACATTCAGGTGGAATACTTAACCTTTTTAACCCACTGATAATTAGACAAGCACCCAGTGCACATCCATAGTCCCCCCCGCCCCACCCCAGCCTGTACTGACAGAGCCAAGTGCTGCTTTTTTCAGTTATAAATAAAAGAAATTATGAAATATCAATTTTTATCTGTGGCAACTCTTTGTATTCCAACTTTCCAACAACATTTTTTTTCAGCTAAAAATCAAAAGGAGCATATGTTGCACTTATACAAAACCCAAAGCTGCTATAGAACTTGCTGCCATGCTCATATTCTTTAGGAGACTTCATGGATTTTAAGCCTTTTTCCACTGTTCATAAAATATTAACTACTTCAGGCTGGAGTATAAAAAGCATATATTGGGGGTTTTACCAACACTTCTGACACAATGCATAAAAGGAACATAAAGTTATATGTATGAGGAGTTTTCCTCCCTTTTTTTTTGAATACAGAGAGAAAAGTCTTTCAAAGGATATGATGTGGGCTGCAGCCATCAGAGCTGCACTTTGCGTGTCAGAGAATGTTGCAGACACCTACAAAAGACATTTTCCCTTCCTGCACAGCATCCCAAATGTCCAAACTGATCATCTGTTTACATCAGCTAAAATCCCCAGTTCAGCAAGACCCAGCCCCAAGCTGGCCAATGCCACCATTCCAGGGAGAACAAGAGGATTTTAATGAGGTTCTCTTGGTTTATGTTTGTTTGTTTAATTAACTGGATAAATATTTTCTGTCTCTTCACTGATGTATTTTTCTTTCATTATTGATAAAATAAAGATGCTCTTTGTTACCAGCATCTCACACTCAAAACTGGAGTTTAAAGAAGGCAGCTTTCTCTTTCATCACCGTTTTCCTGCTTTCTGTTCTGAAACAAGCCTGAAACCTCCAAAAGCTCTAAGGAATCACAGCCTGCTCTCCAAATGGCTCCAGGCTGGCAGAGGAGGGAGCAGATCACTGGTGTGGCAGGCAGGTTTTCCTGAAGTCTCTGTGTTTTCAGGACTATGGCAAACATCCCACTCAGGAGTTTTACATGTGCTTTGCCTGCCTGATGTTCTGCTTACAGTGAGGGTGAATGATTAATGCTGGGAACACTGCTTTAGTCAGTGATTAATTAATGTTAATTTATTTTTAACATTGAACATTATTCTTCATTTATTTCATTTTCTTCTGCTAATGAAGGGCTGTCTCTGGATCCCACTTGTTGTCCTGGTTGAAAAGCAGGTCCTGCTTGTGAGCAGCTGCACCAAGAGCCACAGCAGAAAGGCACCAAGGATCAACTCCTCTCTCTGAGGGTGTCCTAAATCACTCCTTCCAGCATCAAACATTTCCCAACAACAGTTTTGGAACAGGGTATTTCAGAGCAAAACCCAACTGAAATACAAACTTGCTGTTCCAGTTTTCCATTTCGAGCTCATGTTGTGTTATCTCCCCGTCCCATGTCATCGTCCTCCTCCTCTCCCTGTTCTTTCCAAGCAAAACAAGACTTGGTCAGCTCCTCTGTTAACAGCCAAGTGTCTCAGCTGGGAACACACAAGAGCCCCCAGGCCAGAGGACAAACCAACTCTCCCTGAAGTTCCAAGAGTTGCTGTCCACCTTCCTCCCCCCCCACCCCAGCACTGCTGCAGAGTCACTTCCATGGCCAAGGACCCCACAAAGCACCAAACCCAGAAAATAATTATTGCTACTGTGCTGATTCAAATGGGATTGAGTTCAGCTCCATCTCCTTAGTAACTTATTAAAAAGTTAATAAAATGGTGCACCTGAACCCACCTCACCAATGACAGCAGTCAGGGAACTTCAGAAGAGGCAATTTCCCTGAGGGCCTTGGCAATTAAGATAATGCAGGAGAGCACCTATTGAGCTATTAATGAGCTCCCACCAGGGCACTATTAAGTTCACAGTTTGCTGCATTTGTACTTTCCCTTTCCTATTAAGTTTTATTGATATGGTTTCCTGACAATAGGAGAAGCCCCCTGGTCTGACAGAGCCTCTCGAGCCATCGTGCTGGGCAGGGCAGGGCAGGGTCAGGCCACACAACCTGCAAACCCCTGCAAACAGCCCAGCTCTGCCCAAGTGAGACTCCTGGAGATCTGCAAAACTCCGTGGAGTGAACTAATGGGTGAGGAACAGTCTTGAATCTGTTCAGGGCTCTGTTTGTCACGTCAGGATTTAACCAGCATTTGGTGCAGCTACTCCTTGTTCACCATCCACGTCCCAAGCTGCAGGACAAACAGCTCCAGCCTCCTGCAAACTGCAGACACCTGGGTTCACTGCCTTGAGCTCAGTCACCTGGAGTTTTTACCTGGCTGTTTTCTCTGGGCAAAACCCCCTCTACGCTCTTTTCATCTGCACTTTGCCTTCTGAACAAGAAGAAAA